GTATCATTTCTATTTAAGCATTCTTGTAATTATTAAACCAGTGAATCTAGTCCTCTGGATCACCTGTGCTGCGTCATGTCAAAGTTGATGACGTCATATTTGACGAAATACTTTCTTCTATTACTCGACTGTATTGCTATCAAGTATTGCATTTTTACATGATCTTATAAATAATCAATAAAGTAAATAAATTCAACTTGTTATTTACGCATGATCATGTCGTTAATTAATTTTTGTGGCTTGTTAAATTTCAATGACGTCACAATTAAACTTCCTATACAATGGAATGTGAACTCTGACCTTCCTTAACATAGCTTATTAATACTATATATACAATCAATGTAATCTGAAAGATAAAGGGTATTTCGAAGGTATAAGGATCCAGTTAAAGCTGTAGCGTAACGCAACTGTAACATGCTGTGACAAATCTTGAGTACAAAAAAATAATCGGTCGAAATTACACAACTCTACCCTATACATTCATCTCCTGCGAATGGGAAACAATAGCTTTCGAGCACACATGCTGTTCGTAACTAATAGAGATGGCAAGATAGATTATCTGGGTACTGTATAGTCATTAATAGATAGGGAACACAAACAAGGCTATTCGTGTTTAAAATTTGGATGAAAGTACAAAGATTACGTTTTCTGTGATACCTGTTAACAGAGAAGGACAGATTTTTTTCTCTTTTTTCTGCAAAAAAATGTGATAAATTTTTCAAAATAATCGAGCTAGCTTTCAAGAAAATGATTGCATGCGTGAACAAGGTCAAGGCTGTACATTCCTTTTAGTTTCATATCAAGGAAAAACTTCTGGCGATAATCGTTATTTCAAACTAAAGAACTAGAATTTTGAATTCTATCTTCAGGTTTTTCCAATATGATAAGAATTCTTCGGATATTTTTAGAAGGCAGCAATTAAAACAGTTGATATAAAGATATCATTTACAAAAATTCCATTCTCTGAAAGATAAGAGAAAGTAGATCTTTATTCGACAGAATTCACAGCTTAATTTCACTTCTTTTTTTTTGTTTTAAACTGGAAGCGAGGGAACTTTATATTTAGCTTTGAAACTTGTGATTTAAATTAGGTTTTGAAAATTTAAATATGTTAATGAATAAACGTTAATGGAAAATAAATGTGTTTGTGAAACACCGATATTTACACTGTATCCATGGATGAAAAGTACAGTTTCTTAAAAGCAAGTCGAACTCTAAGAACAGAAGATAAAAAATATTGTTACACAAAGACAAGACTTGTCTCACTGAATAAACACGTGGAAAAGGAATTCCATTAGCACCAAAAGATCAAATGTGGTCAAAGTTAATCTGTTATGGTAGATGTAGCTCCAAGGTCAAGGACAAAGGGTCTCAATTAATTTTACTCGAGGGAGACTATGAAATTCAGATGTGAAATAAATTGTTCTAGCACCAAGTATCATTTGAATAGATGTCACAAGGTTAAAATCTTTTTTGCTAAAAGTAGGTCACATTTTAAGCTCAAGAAATCGGAATTATTATTATCTAAAGAAAGATTATGATGCAAGAAATATACATTTGGAATATCAAAATCCTATCAAAAAATGTTAAGAGTGATGGCCATGGTTATTTATTAAAAAAAGAATCAAACTCTAAGGTCAAGGGAAAAGGTCAAATATATTTAAAAAAGTATCAAGGAAAGTACAATATACTATTCATAAAATGTTGTAAATCATTATTGGATACAAAAATTCCAAAATACTTTTGGGAAAAATTATATAATCACTTAATGTTTCCTTAATCAAAAACATAAAAACTGACATTTACTGACATTGACATAAAACCATTCCACACGAAAAATTAAATTAAAAGCTTTTTGATATCTTTGACAGATGCTTCTTTAATAAAATGGAACTCATTACTTTACTTTTTATTGGTCATTTGCAAAATAATTTTGTTAAGGTATTTAATACTTAATAACACCAGATTCAACAGATATATAGGCATTAAATACTTAGTATATTTAGACATAGTTCCCATTTATTATTAACAGCATGTAAGGATGGGATGTGTCCTAAATTATGACCTTGAATTTTGGTAAGAGTTATCTCCCTCTATTTTTATTCTTAAAAATCAAATTGAAAAACTTTATTTAGTAAAAAAAATGTTTTTAAGTGTCATTTGTAATGTTTCATCTTTCCACCACAGTATATATTGATATTCCAATCATTTGTCAAGAATTTTTATCTAAATTTGCTTTTCCCCATAGACTTCAAGTATCTTTGTTAATTAACTGCTGCTTAATTTATGGAATTTTAAAACTTCTCGCGGACAATCCTTTTCTTCTATGAAAAGTTATTGCCCTCGTAAACATTTTTTTAAAGATTGAAAACTTGATTAAATAAGGAAAGTATGCATCTTTAAAATTCTTTTACTTAACAATATTTATCTTTACACCATTTGGAAAGCATTCTTCTAAAACATTTTGTTCTATTGGGTATGAATCTAAATAAATTTAATAACAGTTTTTGCAAAAACCTTTGACATATTGAAGGGTGGAATTACCTTAATATTTCTAAATAGACAATGCACTTACTAGTATCGTTACTATCCATTTCCCTAAAGTCAGATCTAACTTTCATGAGGTTTTCTCAATGATTGACTTATTATTGGTATTGTTCTCATCTCTTCTTGATTTTCTTTTTTTTGGGGGGGGGGGGATTTTACTGTTCTTCATCTTTAAATTATAATTTAATTCAAACTCTCTAATTATTCAAATTTTTGATGCAAGCTGTATTCCATTTTAAGAATAGGTGAAATTATGCCATCACTAATTATACCATCAGTTACTTATTATAATTTCACCAATACTGATGTTTCGGATGGGATGATCAGGAAATAACGGAAAATCCGTCGTCAATTCAATTTATGAATAGTGGACTAACAATAAGTATGAACAAGAGGCCCACGGGCCTTATAGGTCACCTGAGTATTGTGTAACAACTTTCAAACAATTAAATTTGGATTGTGTTTTAAACCAGAGGCCATGAAATTCACAATTCACAATTTTGAAAGAGGCACCATTGCTTATCACAATTAAAAATACTCTACTTACTCAATACCCAGAGGTAGATCAGAGTTACAAAGAGAAAATGTTCTTCCACTTTATAACCAGTTGTGCACCTCACCCCAAAACAACCACTGACCCTGGGGCCACATAATTCAAAATGTTGCAAGTTTTATCATAAAATGGTTGATTAATACAAAAGCAGGTTTCAAAGCATTAATTTATTTTCAGACTATGTACCCCCCCCCCCTCGGTGCATAAAAATAACCATTTTGCTAGATGCACCTGTCTTCATCATAAATATATATACTTGGATCATTGGCATAAATTTCACAATTTTGGAAAAGGCACTCTTGCTCATCACAACTATGTGCTTAGTTAGTTTATTTAATACTCAGAAGCAGAGAAGAAGATTTTCAAAGAAAAAATGCATTTTCACTGTATAATCAATAGAGCCCCACCCTAACACCAGAACCCCTGACCCTGGGGCCATAAATTTCACAATTTCCGATAAGGCAATCTTGCTTATCATAACTATGTGCTTAGTTAGTTTATTTAATACCCAGAAGCAGAGAAGAAGATTTTCAAAGAATAAAAACATTTTCTCTATATAATCTATAGAGCCCCGCCCTAACACCAGAACCCCTGACCCTGGGGCCATAAAATTCACAAATCTGGAAAAGGCACTCTTGCTCATCATAATTATGTACTAGATAGTTTATTTAATACCCAGGAGCAGAGAAGAAGATTTTCAAAGAAATAATGCATTTTCACTATATAATCTATATAGCCCCGCCCTAGCACTAGAACCCCTGACCCTGAGGCCATGAATTTCACAATTTTGGTAGATGACTCAATGTTCATTACATTCATGCTAACAGTTTGCCTGCTTGATGTCCAGGTGTAAAGAAGAAGATTTTTAAAGATTGCAATAATTTTAGTGGTTTTGGCCCCACCCCTCAGGCCCCAGGGGGGCGGGGACCATGAAATTCACAAATTTTGTTTCCCTTCACCAATACATGCTGTATACCAAATTTGGTTGGAACTGGTTCAGTGGTTTCAGGGAAGAAGCTGAAAATGTTCAAATGTTAACACACGACACACGACGCACGACAGACGACGCACGACGACGGACGAAAACGGATAACAATAGGTCACCTGAGTTACTCGGGTGACCTAAAAATGACAGTCAGCATTTGACTCAATGATAAATTGTATTTTGTGTTCTCCAGTGTAATTTTACAAGCTCACTGAAGCTAACCTTTTTCGCACAAATATGACTTTAAATAAGGTTTTATGGATACAAGTGTCTTTTAGTAGCTGTTTGATATGTCCATATATCTCATGTATAAATGACGACAGCAAATTAAAAGATAAATTAGAAAAAGGGAAGATAACTCTAACACAATGCTTCCCTGAAGAATTTATGTGTAAATTTATACAAACATTACTTGATCTCACCTGTATAACAAATTACTATATAAGCTGACATTATCATTGTATGAACATTAGAACAAACGAGACTGGTTATATTCTTTTATCATCAACTTGTTTGTTAATAATTTACCAAACAAGCTCTTGCGTATCGAATCAACTGAATCAACTCCGTATGTAGGTTATGAAGGTCTTAAAATCTGTACTTTTCCTCCTCTCATATATCCTAGATTGTTGCCAGTGCCTGATTTGCTGCCTCTTTGACCTTTCACTTTCTGACCTAAAAATAACAACAGATCATATACTTCTCAGTAATTAGTAAAACCCGTTGATGTCTGAAAAATCAGATGTATAACAGATAATGCCTGTACTCATTGATTTTTAAACTAAACTTTATCTATCCCTCAGAAAAATCAAGAAAGTTTCCAAAATAACATCATTTGGAAAGTACCATCGTGGATATGCTAATAAAACTAAAACAACCAATAAAATATTCAGCTTTCGAGAAAAACACTTTTATTGCTTTAAAACATGCGCAGATCCCGTATGCTTTATGCTTTAAAATGAGTGGTTATCGTAATATACCGAATAAAACAGCTTTTCATTGGAAAGAAAGGTGATTGCTATAGACATGGGATCCGTAATTCTACTATGTTTCGTATTTTCCATGTTTATTCACAAATCTTATGGACAGGTATCTCTGCTTCATAACAGTACCTCAGATAAAAATGGTCTGTTGCTTAGTACTGTAACAGGAAAAGTACCAAATATGTTACGAGACATACTAAAACGGGAATCACTGGAACGCTTATCTATGGTGCAGAGGATACACAGTTTGGAAAGGAAGGACCAAGAAATGGAAGCAGAAATTACAAAACTTAAAGGAGAATTGAGTAAGATGAATGAGACTTTACAACAGGAATTCAGAGCAAAAAATGATGTCTATCTTCTGGCTAAAACATTTGAAACTGCTCTTGGGGTTCTGAATAAATCAAGTTTACAATGGACAGAGATTTCTAAGTTGCCTGGTAAGTATGCTACGCAAATATTTATGTATATACTATTGTTGTATATAAAACCATGGGCAAAGCGTTTTTCTCCGAAAATAATAGGTGCACTACACTGAAATATTGAGGAAATCTTAATTTATCATATTTAAGTGTATCTTCTTTGTTTTCATAAAATCTGGACAAAAATAAAGATTTTATTAGGTAGAATATGCACAGGGACAGTCCTACGGCGCATGATAAAAACCCTAGGGTTTTATAAGAGAATACCAATACCCGATTATTATTTCTAAATAAAAGTATTAAATAGATATGAAATATATTCAAGAAAAATTATTTTTAAAAAATGAGAATTTTAATTCACTATCTATTACAGTGTACATGTATATAGATTTTGAAATTTTCAAGACATTTTAGAATTGTTTTGGCTGTTTTCTGGGCATTCAAAATTAGAAAGTTGTGAATAAATCACATGAAAAATGGTGGCGATTAATCACGTTACGGCACACCGGAGAGCAGTTGAGTTTAATTACGATGTATCAATGACGCAATAAAGAACTATAAATGAATACAGAAGAAAACACATACATGTACAACAATTTTATATCAACAGATCCTCAGAATACTATAGAAATGAGAGTTTTCTTAAAAAATCGGTTTTGATTGAGTGCCCGGATTAAAGAAAACATACAGACAAACAGTTATGGTAATAGCGAAAGATACTGTCACTGTGGAACCGTCAATGTAAGATTGCCTATTTAATTGAATGATAGTGAGAAAATTGACCATAACAAAGTGACAAATCTTCAGAAGGACTCATCTGATCATTGATGCATATACTTGATTTTCCTCTTATTTCTCCATAAACAGTAGAAGAACCAATTTTGCACACACATTGGCCTAATCTGAAGATTTATTTGTAATTTATGGACTGTATTCTCACTATCATTCAGCTTAAAAGATAGTTTTACATTGGCGGTCTACAGTGACAGCATCTTTCGCTATAAGCATATAGCAGTTTGTCCGTATCTTTTGCTGCACCCGGGGACTCCATCAAACCAGCTCAAACCAGATTTCGCTTGGAAAACTCCTATTTCGATTGTATGATTAAAGATAAGATATTTTTTAAAAACAATTTCTTCTGTATTCATTCAAAGTTATTTAGAGCGTCATTATTACATCTGAATCAAATTGAACTGCTCTCCGATGCGCCGTAAAGTCTTAAAATGTCGCCATTTTTTGTGTGTTCTGTTTATCTCTTCCCATTTTGAATGCTCGGGAAACTGCGAAAAATAAAGCAAATCTCTTGACATTTTCAAAAAGACAGAACAAATTTAAAACATTGTAGATTAAATATATGATAATTTTTATTTCAATCATTTTTATTTAATATTTAATACTCGTGTATTCTCTTTTGAATCCCCCCCAAGCGTTTTTGATCGTGTGCCGTAGGACCCGATCCTGTGCACATTTTTAAGTTAAAGAAACATTTTATATGAGTGAGCAGAGGATTTATGAACCTTAAATATGATAAAAACAGACATTTACTGAAAATTTCAGCTTAGTGTGTCCATTAAGTTCTGAGAAAAAGGTTTTGTGCATTCTATTATCGGACAGCCCAATAAACGCAATTTAAATTGCATGACGTTGCCACTCAGTTTGTATGTTCTTTTTGACGTCATAATACGTTGTTCGATGTTGAGTTGCTATGCATTGTGTGTTTTCTTAATCAGACAATACAGACAACTACAGAAATTGCTTGGATATTTTACGGAAATTTCCGAGTCTACAAGGAATTGATGGGGTTTTTGAAATAACTATAGCCTCCAAGCCAAAGTTTGTGTACTGTGACATGACAACAGAAGGAGGAGGGTGGACGGTGAGATAATCATTCACGTGTTCTACAGACAAAATCTAATTTCTTTGGAACTGTAAAGAGATATATTTTGAAAAACATATTTTTGCATACGTTTATTACTGGAAACCAACATGTTAAAGCAAATAAAAGAGACAACCTTTGTAAATGTTTCAGGCTATACAAAGAAGACAGGATGGGTCTACAGATTTTTACCGGACATGGTCAGAATATAAACAAGGATTTGGGGATCCCTCTAAAAACTACTGGATTGGTAAGTTTAGATTTTCTAACACCTAAATTACAACTTATTCCTTTAAATGTGTGTATAAATCTCACAGTTTCAAACAAATATATGTAAACATTGTTAAAATATATTACTGTCAGAATATTTTTTTTCTGTATTCCCATATCAACAACTTATCAGTGATTAACAATCCATGGTTTACAATTGATAGTACTCAGAGTATGCTTTTAAGAAGCTAATTATAGTTTGGAGACATAAACTTCATAAGTAGGTGAGATTGGAATATTTATACATGAATTATCTCGTGTGTCACACATGTTAGTTGTTAATTGGCCTTTATCGTGTACAGTCAGTAAACATTCAAATCTGAAAATATATGGCAGACACTGTGGTGTATTTCAAGTTCACTGTGGTTTTATCGAGTCGACATAGGAATAAAAATAACCATTGTTAAAATTAAAACATCGTCGATATATCTGAATGTCGAATTGAAGTCCACAGCAAGTGTTTTTAATTTCACAATTATCGTAGTCTTCATTTTAGTAAACTTCAAAAGTATGATTTTGACGTCGAATATTTTGACGTTATAATTACATTGTTTCTAACATTACACCAACTCGAGATTCCTTGAACGCTCCGCCTATTGAGCTTTATTTCGGAATTTTTGAATTTCTCAGTGTCCTATATCGTAACATTTTATCAACGTCCCTGTAGGTGCATTGTGACGTCATTTAGCGCGAATTTCACCGTGTATATTTCTACGCCTGGGTATACACAAAAATGTTTTTTAATCAATTTTACAGTTGCCTTATTAGAAAAATGCAGCAAATGTAAATATTCAAGTATAAACAGCCAGTCGGACGGACAGATAAACAAGCAGTAAGACTCATACTGATATTCTTCACTTTAAGTGAAAGGGGTTGGAGATTAAATTATGCACTGGTGCAAGAGTTTAATAACTAATTATCTCTGTAGAGATTTGTAGTACATAATAAAAGGATCAATTGAATGGCGGAGAAGACCTTTTATGGAAGAAGTCACATTCAACAACTAGTGGTAGGGTAGGGAAGCGGGGCTATATCACGATGTTTCTCCAGCGGTTCTCCTGCTCTAGTGTCATTCATCCCCCAAGAAAAGTCTCACTCTCGTGCAGTACTTCCCAAGGGGAGTCTGACTATGAGGGAAGTCTCATTGTACAACACCGAGCCCACTCTTCTAAACCACCTGTTTTTATTTTTTCAAAAATATTAATTGCAAAAAAGAAACACTCTGATTCTAAACTGAAGTAGTCTGGGGTTGATATGAAATGATGTCAGATTTCTTTACAGACAAAAATTCGTCTAGTCTTCTAAAAATTATGTGGAATTTTCAAGGCACTAGTTAAATATATGCTCTTTAATTAGCCAACATAATTTAATATTCCTTTGAAGCAAAATTTATTCAAAAAAGTCTTCAGGAGAAAAAGGAAATACTTGCTGTGACCTTCAATTCTACGACGATTTATCAATAAGAATATGGTTGCTTCAATTAATTTGTTGACTCAATATATCCTAGTTACCTAGCAATAAAAGACATAACAGAATCTGCCCCATATTTCATATTTGGATGTTTAACTGACCAAAGACGATAAGGACCAACTAACAATTGAACTATATGACTTTCCTATGATGAACTTTTCTTATGTGTTTAGTAATATTCCTCAGTCAAATGTTTGTGATATTTATGCATCCTAACTTATTCGATACTCTAGAGCTTGCATTGAGTACACAGTCAATGTCGAGGCTGGTTTCTGTCAGATAATCGGATGATACAGGGATTGAATGTCCTCGTTCAATTAGAAAGTGATGCAAACTTTGACCTTTGCTCAGCACTAAGCAGAGAGGGATCTTTATCATGTCAGCACCTACTGCAACACGGAACCTCGGTTTATACGGTCTCATCCGAAAAACCGGTCTCCATGCCCCACAGTTAAGATTTGAATCCGCGACGTAAGGACTCTTCCTCAGTTCACGACTCTAGAGGAGACGCTCTTTCCGCTGCATTATGCTGGTAAATGCGCTCCACTATAAATATTGAACTGCTAGTTTTAAGGAATGTTTAAAATTCTTATGATAGTTAAACCAACAAAACATATTCCTAATCATTGCCACTTCTTTCCATTTCTCAAACTAACGTGTCTGTCCAGCGATTGGCTTTAATTTTTTTTATAATAATAAGTACGTGTATTTCAAATGAAAATGCTTATACAGTTATTGATCATGTTAAAATGTTTCTGAACACTCTGACAAAAACCTAGACAATGTTGAAATAGAAAAAACTGCTTGAAGTACGTACAGATCAAACGCTAAATGTTCATAATGATCATATATATTCAGTCTGCAAATCTATCACATATTAATTATCTACCTTGCAGAAAAGCAAGAAATCTTCTCTCTGAAAACTAGAAAACTGTTTATATTTTGTCCTTCTATTATTTACTGTCTGCCTATCTGTAGCAATACAAGAGTTAGTGACATAGAGATAATTCATTAACTCCAAAAACGGGCCGCTAGAAATATACTTAATGCTGCTTCTGATGCTCCAAGGCATTATTTGAAAAAAAAAATGGGCTGGCGTTTTAGAAGTAATTTCATGTTTTAGATTTATACAAAAATACAAATTTATCTTGTACAAAATATTTAACAACCCGACCCCTGCTTACCCGGAAGATTCATCTATATTTCTATATTTTAAACTTCTAACACTTTACGTTCAAAATCTAATTTTGACTTACGTCTACCAAAAAGACTGAATAAATTTGTTTTAAACTTGCTTTCACAAAACTTCTTAGTATACATAGGCGTCGGAGGCAGATTGAAAGAGGGGGCTCATTGAAAGTGGGGGGAGGGTGACTAAACCAACAAAAAAGGTATACCCCAATTTTCAATGCCTATATTATGTAGATATTTGCAAAAAAGTGGGGGGTCACCCCCTAGCCGCCCCCTCCCCGGGTACTGAGGCCAATGGTATAGAAGTCTTCGATTGACAATTTTGCAATTGAGATTTTTCGATAAAGAAAATAGTATTGTCAAACGCGTGTTAACAGAAACAGGCTACACTTTACAATCAAAGAATATGAAAATGCACTAGTATTTCTTTCACCAAGGAAATGACGCAATCTATGAGTTGACAAAGAACAAGGACCAGGAACTCCGGGTTGAGCTACAAAGATTTAATGGTGATACAGCATATGCACAGTACTCCACATTTTATGTTGGGGATGAAGGCAGTAAATACAAATTCACTGTATCGGGGTATTCAGGAACAGCAGGTATATACCTTCAAGATATATATGATTTTACAAAAGTCACTCTTTACCATATGTTAAGTGCATCTTATCATAATTGCCGAGTCATAGTTATATTGAAACATTTTAAATGATAGGAAATATGCATGTTACAAACAATGTTATTAATTTTCTAATTTTCTAATTATTTTTAAAACAATTAATTAATTAGGAAAATCTAAACTTTGGATTATGTCAAACTTTAAGAAATATTTTGTTTATTTGAAAGCAAACGAAACCTTATATTGTCATTTTACACATTAAATAGTTATTTACTTCATTGCAGAAAAAAGATTTTTTTACACATGTTCATAAAATGCTTGTACTTCACAAATATTTTGATACAATATTATTTTTGAATATATTTATGAAAAGTTACAAGTCCTATATAAAAACATTTGTAGGTATTAATAAAATTATAATTGCTTTATCACGTATTATGGAATTAACCCAAAAACGAAAGACAAATCGAGCTAATAGAAATAAAAATAAATTACACAACAGTCTTATTAATGTCATTTTTGTACCCTTATAATGATTTTTTGATCAACAATTAATTTTAATGATATCGATATTTTGTTCAAGGTGACAGTCTGGATTATCACAATGGAATGAAATTCACCACTAAAGACCAGGATAACGACGGGAATAGTGGTCACTGTGCTGTATCATATCACGGAGCCTGGTGGTACAACAACTGTCACCACTCAAACCTGAATGGACTCTACCTACAGTCTGGTGTGTCTGGTGCTCATTACGCGGCATGGTATGTCTGGAAAAGTAAATGGGAAGCATTAAAACAGACTGTGATGATGATCAGACACAGAAACTAAAGATTTTCAAAATACACAATTACAAATGTACTCTTTTAAAAAGACGTTATTAACAACTTTATGTGCCGGCCATTTACATAATTATATCGTTTTCATATCTTATAAAGAAAAACAACATTATGTTTCTCTAGATAATTTAAACTTTCTATTGTCTTTTAAATACCATTAAAAACAGATCTTATTAAAACAGTAAATTATGATACAGCAATAGTTATGTACGATTCTTTTATAACACAAAGCCTTCACATCTATAAATTAGATTCTGTTCTAATATTATTAATTTATTTATTGTAAAGGTTTGAACTTTTTGGAGTAATTTAAAGAGAAAGCACCTTATAATGATGTTTATATATAAAACAATATATATTTTAATGATATCGACATTTTGTTCAAACCGTGTTTCAGTTTTTACCCTTTAACTATCATTTTACATAAATTCACATAGTACTATATATAGAAGGTTAAACTCAGGAATGGTGGTTTTTAAATAGCTGTGCTGTATCAAATCACAGGCACCATAGGGACACGCTGTTCCTTTGCCAGATTACACCACGTCTTTCATTTTTGTTATTTATCTACATATGTACCAGAAATCCTACGCACTTCTGAGGTAAGAGTATTTTAGTTGAATGTTTATTTTAAGTAACAGTATATCTGCAAATTCTGCCAAGTTACTTCGCTGCAGTACATTTTTTGGTAAAGTTGTTTGAAGTAAACGTATTGTTGAATTGTGTATATAATGTACTTATATTCAGTAGTAAATGCGTCTAAGCATTGTCAAAATACACATTTACATATTGTACTCCAAGTGTGTTAAAAAACAATGTTATTTACATGTAATATGTGTTTGTAGCCAAGTTAACATAATATATATTCTTTTCATGTCTAAAGTATAAATATATGTTGAACAAAGTACATTATGTTTCTCTAGAAAATATGCATATTAAACTATTCTATATGACTTTTTAATAATTTAACAAACAATTACAATATGCTTTTATTTTAAACATTCAATAGATGTTTTTGGTCCTAGTAGTTGTAAAAGTTTACAGTAAATTATCAGATAAGGACCAGACAATAGTTATATACAGCGCCATCCTACGGAAGTGCCGCCAACACAAAGCCTTCACATCCTAAAGAAGTGCCGCCATTACGGGCCACATATTATTAATTTACACATTGTAAAAACATGGTTTTAACTTTTATTATATCAAACAAAATAAAGAAAAAATATTGATGTAAAAATGTAATAAATATTGTAAATATATTTTAAAACATCTCCTTATTTCTGACAAAAGATCTGTGACAAACGACAGTAAAAGAGAAAATCATTTAAAATATGACACCGAGAAGCAATGCGTTAGAGATGAGAGTCATTTCACAATAATTTTTTTCGAATATTTTATATTATCGTTCAAATGTTTCAAAAGGTATGGAGAATGATTAATTAAGAATCAATTAATACTACTATAACATTCCAAAAAGAGACTGAGATTTCACTAGCAATGATTTTAGAAGGTATAGTTCTTTCAAATCTTGAATTTGAATGGAGGCAGAAGAATGGGATCAGAAAATTACAAATTACAAGTTCAAATGGAGAAGTATTATGGCATTGAAAGGGTATGGAAGGGCAAAGGAAAACGAATAAGAACAGAAACGGGTCATCATGAACAGTATTACTTATTGCAGGTATGCAACTGCAAGAACACCTTGTTTTGTTTAGAATAGTAAAATGCAAGAAATTATCGACTCAGAAACCTATAGTCCTCCCTTCCAATTGCTCTGATAGGAACAGTCCATATACCGTCTTCTCAACAGATAGTCTGACTCATTTCTTGTAGACCAAAAAAATTAACAATTATTATTCGTAAAAGAAGCTAAAAATACCGACTTCGTAACAGATATGTAAAGTTAGCTACTAGTAACTGGCTACTAGTAGCTGGCTACGAGAAGTGGTAAAGTTAGCTACTAGTAGTTGGCTACGAGAAGTAAGTAAAGTTGGCTACTAGTAACTGGCTACTAGTAGCTAGCTACGACAAGCAAGTAAAGTTGGCTACTAGTAACTGGCTACCAGTAACTGACTTAAACATTCTAATACCTTTTGTGTTAAATTATGCTTATTTGGGAGAAATGATTTGGCACTAAAGTTACCGAGATATCGTTATTAATAAACACTTTTTTAATTAATTATTAATAATAATACTTCTTAATAAACCTTTTGTATCAAATTATGCAATTTTGGGAGACAAATCTTGATATTATAGAAGTAGATACATTTTTACACCGCTGATATCCACTGATATTGTTGTTAAAAACAATATCTGAGCTTTTCCACATGGTCTGGCACTAAAGTTACCAAGATATCGTTATTAATAAACTCAGCTACTAGTTACTTTTGTTTAAAATTATGCAATTTTAGGTGACAAATGTTGATATTATAGAAGTAGCTGGATATTTAAACTGCTGATATCAACTGATATTGTTGATAAATACGACATCTGAGCTTTTCCACATGATCTGGCACAAAAGTTACCAAGATATCGTTATTGATAAACTCAGCTACTAGTACCTTTTGTTTAAAATTATGCAATTTTGCGAGACAAATCTTGATATTCCGGAAGTAGCTACATATTTAAACTGCTGATATCAACTGATATTGTTGATTTAAACAATCTCTGAGCATTTCCACATGATTTTGCACTAAAGTTACCGAGATATCGTTATCAATAAACTCAGCTATTAGTACATTTTGTTTAAAATTATGCAATTTTGGGTGACAAATGTTGATATTATAGAAGTAGCTGCATTTTTACACCGCTGATATCAACTGATATTGCTGATAAAAAGAATGTTTAAGCTTTTCCACATGGTCCTGCTCTAAAGTTACCAAGATATCGTTATTAATAAACTCAGCTACTAGTACCTTTTGCTTAAAATTATGCAATTTTTGGTGACAAATGTTGATATTATAGAAGTAGCTGCATTTTTAAACCGCTGATATCCACTGATATTGCTGATAAATACAATGTCTAAGCTTTTCCACGTGGTCTGGCACTAAAGTTAACAAGTTATCGTTATTAATAAACTCAGCTACTAGTACCTTTTGTTTAAAATTATGCAATTTTAGGTGACAAATGTTGATATTGTAGAAGTAGCTGGATATTTAAACTGCTGATATCAACTGATATTGTTGATAAATACGACATCTGAGCTTTTCCACATGATCTGGCACAAAAGTTACCAAGATATCGTTATTGATAAACTCAGCTACTAGTACCTTTTGTTAAAAATTATGCAATTTTGCGAGACAAATCTTGATATTCCGGGAATAGCTACAAATTTAAAATGCTGATATCAACTGATATTGTTGATTAAAACAATCTCTGAGCTTTTCCACATGATTTTGCACTAAAGTTACCGAGATATCGTTATCAATAAACTCAGCTACTAGTACCTTTTGTTTAAAATTATGCAATTTTGGGTGACAAATGTTGATATTATAGAAGTAGCTGTATTTTTACACCGCTGATATCCACTGATATTGTTGATAAAATCAATGTCTAAGCTTTTCCGCATGGTCTGGCACTAAAGTTAACAAGATATCGCTATTAATAAACTCAGCTACTAGTACCTTTTGTTTAAAATTATGCAATTTTGGGTGACAAAGTTGATATTATAGAAGTAGCTGGATTTTTACACCGCTGATATTCACTGATATTGCTGATAAAAAGAATGTGTAAGCTTTTCCACATGATCTTGCACTAAAGTGACCGAGATATCGTTATCAATAAACTCAGCTACTAGTACCTTTTGTTTAAAATTGTGCAATTTTTGGAGACAAATCTTGATATTATTGAAGTAGCTGGATTTTTACACAGCTGATATCCACTGATTTTGTTGATAAAAACAATATCTGAGCTATTCCACATGATTTGGTACTAAAGTTACCAAGATTTTGTTATTAATAAACTCAGCTACTAGTACCTTGAGTTTAATATTATGCTTTTTTGGGAGACAAATTTTGATAATCTTGAAGTAGCTGGGTTTTTAAATCACTGATATCAACTGATATTGCTGATTAAAGCAATCTCAGAGCTTTTTCAGATGATTTTGCATTGAACCTACCGAGATATCTGTAGTAATAAACTCAGCTACTGGTACCTTTTCTTTAAAATTGTGCAATTTTGGGAGACAAATCTTGATATTCTTGAAGTAGGTGCATTTTTATATCACTGATATCAACTGATATTGTTGATAAAAACATTTTCTGGTCTTTTCCACATGATCTGGTGCTGATGTCACCAAGATATCGTTAGTAATTGACTCAGCTACTAGTACCTTTTGTTTAAAATTGTGCAATTTTGGGAGACAAATCTTGATATTCTTGAAGTAGCTGGATTTTTATATCACTGATATCAACTGATATTGCTGATAAAAAAAATCTCTGAGCTTTTCTACATGATCTGGCACTGAACGTACCAAGATATCGATAGTAATAAACTCAGCTACTGGTACCTTTTTTTTTTAAATTAGGCTATTTTGGAAGACCAATCTTGATATTCTTGAAGTAGCTGGAATTCAACGCCGCTGATATCCACTGAAGTTACCGAGATATATGTAGTAATGAACTCAGCTACTAGTACCTTTAGTTTAAATTTATGCTATTTTGGGAGACAAATCGTAATATTCTTGAAGTAGCTGGATTTTTGAACCGATAATATATACTGATATTGTTGATAATATCAATTTCTGAGCTTTTACACATGATCTGGCGCTGAAATTACCAAGATATCTGTAGTATTAAACTCAGCCACTAGTACCTTTCGTTTAAAATCATGCCATTTTAGGAGAACAACTGTTGATTTTATTGAAGAAGCTGCATGATTTTTACACAACTGATATCCACTGATATTAGTGATAAAAAACAATTTGTAAGTTTTTCCACATGATTTGGCTGGAGTTTACCAAGATATGGTTAATAATAAACTCATCTACGAGTACTTTTGTGTAATATAATGCAATTTTGTGAG